TCCCCTCAAAGACATGATTCTTAATCATGCGCAATCCGACCCGTCGATAAGTTAGTGGGCTTTCCCTCTTTTTTCTCAGAACCAGAACCGCAGCCCCCACGCCACGCTGAGCATACTGACAGCCCCGAGGTAAGTCGAAACATAACCAGGGGCTCGCTGATAACCCTTGCCGGTCCGTCCCAGATATGTCTTTCAACTTGGTCAGCAATAGTCAACTTCCAAGTTGTTCAAACGGACGGAGTGGAGTAACATGCTCAGTCTCCTCCGCATCACTCCGTTCACGTCCGTCCCGATCAAAGTAATCTCCATACTCAGCCGTCGTATCGAACCCCTTAACCCTCTCCATCGTCTCCATCCCGCCACCCACCTTGTCGGTCGCTTTCTATACCCACTTGGACTCTGCCACCGTGATATCCTCACAAACCTCCACATCCTGCTTCGACCGCGCGGAAGCCGCGTCGTTCCAGCCGCTTTCATCTTCGATAGTAAGCCCAACGGGGTACACGTTGCTCTCTCTGACGTTGTCGTACATGGAAATCCGGAAGGCGGCTGCTCTCCCCCGAAGGGCGAGGTTACACCCAGCCCGCACGTCGCCGTACGTGTCCGCTCCGGCGGGCAGTGCCTCCCTCGCAGGGAACGACTTCAAACTCCCTCCGCCCGCCATATTCGGCCCACATGGCAAGTAGATCTAGTTATGCTAGTGATATCGTATATAACAACTCTCTGAGAAGGACTCCTCTAGATGATTCGGCACCCCGGGCCCGTCACCTAGATGAACGAAATATGTTTCCCGTCCTGCAACCCGAATTTGAACAAGTATTCAACGTCTGCCACGCTGTACCTACCCCGTCTCTCTGACTCGTCGTGACTTGGACTCCACTCCAATGTGTTCTCACATATAATTAGAGCAGAATTCATACGAACCCTTTTTCAGGCTCTGAGAACGCAGGTTTTGAGTCTGGTTCCTGTGTGTTTGCAATCTGAGAGGTGGTTCCATTATAATTCAAAAGGGGTCTTAGCAAGGAATATACTGCCGATAACACGGAGAAAACATCAGGATAGTACGGCAGTTCTGAAAGAATGTCAGATGCGGCTTAAAATAGAGTGTAAGCCATTAATGTTTCAATAAACGAGGCCTGCAGTTACAATGGAGTTCAAAGTCAAGTATCATGATGTCAAGGGGTTACTATTTATGCCCGAGACTTGACTTTGTAATTTCTTTTTTGAAGTCGTAGTTTACTCGATACCGAGCCTCCACTGTTACTCTGTGCATGTTCTGCTCTTCCCTACCTTGTAATCGCTGAATGTTATACCGGCTTCAGAACTGCGTTGCACAAACCATGCCCGGTGACAAATTGGGTGGTGTGTACGGCCCTCGGCGTCCGGTCGTCGAGGTGGGGCACGAGGACCCTGAATGGAGCGGGTGGATTGAGCACGAGTCCGAGACAGTGCGGAGTGGGTGCGCTGGAACCTGGTTGGCGCGGTCAGCGGGGAAGTGGGCTTCGGGTGCTGGGGTCATTCAGCTCAGCCCCGCCAGCGTCCTGTCTCGGGCTCTGACTGCGTTAGTGCACTTGCACGCCGCCTGCGGTTGGCCGGGACTCGCACCTGGTTCCTGTCGGAATACACCTGATGAGGGCCAACACTCCGGCCGGCCAATGCCCTTCTCGCTCCGCCTGCGCGGTCGCCAAAACAGCTTGGACAAGTGGAGGCCAGTTCAGCGTGCATGTGTCGAAATGGGCCATTTTGGCGATCTAAGCCTGAAGGACGGCTAGCGCGCGTGCAGTGCAGATCCCTCGACGCCTCAGTTCCAGCGGCCGCCCCCCCTGCCAGCAGCATGCCTCTCTCTGCCTCTCACGATGCTTCCACGGAGAAGGAGTACTGTGTATATGTACTGCGAACCAGGCACGCTGCATCCGATGCGCAGACACAGATTTGCACATGTACCTACATACAAGTTACATACATACTGTACGGGTAGCACACTCGGTCTGGTCATGAGACAGGCGGTCAAGAACTACGGAGGCCAGACATTCGCTATTTAATGTCCAACGACCCCTTCTGTCTCCCCGTCCTTTCTTCCTGAATCTCGCTGTCTCAGTCAGATTCCGACTCTCAAGCTGAGGTTTGGCGACGACAGCAACAATGGGATTAACCACCCCGAGCGTCGTGGTGCCCAGCGCGCCCAAGCGCATCATCGTGTGTTGCGACGGCACGTGGATGGACTCGTTGGGAAAGAAGAGGTAATTAATTAATTAATTAATTATGCATGAGAACACCCTGATGTTGACGCGTCGGGTTAACACCCGTCTCATTAGCAGTCTCGAGCCTCCATCCAATGTGACGCGCATCTCGCGCGTCATCTGCCGCAACTGCTGCGACGGCACTCCCCAGATCATCAACTACTTTCCCGGAGTCGGCACGGCCGGTGCTCTTGACCAGTTCACGGGCGGCGCCTTTGGCATGGGCCTGGACCGGGTAATTAACAATGAAAGTCTCGAGTCTTGATTCTCAGTCAACCTGACTTGTCGGCAGGACATCCGTGAGGTGTACAACTTCATCTGCACCAACTACGTCGAAGGCGACTCCATCATCCTCGTGGGCTTCTCGCGCGGGGCCTTCACGGCGCGGTCGACGGCCGACATCATCGCGTCGCTCGGCCTGCTGACCCCCGAGGGGCTCGACCACTTCTACACTGTCTTCGACGACTACGAGAACATGGGCGACCCCTCACGCGACAAGGACGACTATCTAGTGCCCGGCCTAGCCGCCTACAACAAATCGCACGGCCAGGCCAAGATCGAGTGGGAGAACGCGCGCATGCTCAAGTACAAGACGGGCCTGAAGGATGCAAGTTTTGATTCTCCGACGCTCCCGTCTGACCGGTATCTCGGGCTAACAACTTTGCGAGGAATCAGCTCGGGTACACACGAGACACGTTCCGGGACGGCGTGACCGAGATCAGAATCAAAGCGCTGGCCGTGTGGGACACGGTGGGCACGCTGGGGATCCCGCCGGCGCCCGTCATCGGGGTCCGCGGATCGGCAGACCAGTGGCGCTTTACGAACACGCAGGTCTCGGACAAGGTGGAGAACGCGTTCCAGGCGCTGGCGCTGGACGAGCCGCGCTTCGCGTTCCGGCCGGCGCTGTGGGAGCGGCTGCCCGGCAGCGCCACCAACCTCAAGCAGGTGTGGTTCCCCGGCACCCACGCCAACGTCGGCGGCGGCTGGTTCGACCAGCACGCCGCCAACATCACCCTGGCCTGGATGTGCGACCAGCTGTCCACCGTTGGCGTCGAGTTCAACTTTGCCCGCATGACGGCCATGTTCCGCGACGGCCTGCGCTTCTCGGCCGCGCACCCCTTCCCCTACGCCCCGCCCTCGAGCCGCCGGTCCAGCATGCTCATTCCCAAGATGCTCCGGCGCGCCCCGTCCGGCCCGCTGCCGTGGGCCGGCGCCGACGCCGTCTTCAGCCACCCGAACGCGCCGCCCAAGCGCGACGCCGCCGAGTGCGACGGCCGCGACGTGCACCCGGACGCCCCGCCCGCCAAGCTGTGGCAGTACGCCCGGCCGTGGGGCCTTGGCATGCTGCGCAGCCCCACCAGCACGCTGACGCTGGCCGCCGGCCGCACGGTGCGGCGCCCGGGGCTCGCGCTGCGCGTCGACGAGGACACCAACGAGGACACGGCCGAGCCGCTGCTAAACACGGCCGAGTCGGTCCACGCCAGCGTGCGCGTACGCCTGGCGTGCGCGGGGCTCGGCCCCGACGACCGCGACACGTGGCCGTGCGACGCCCTGCTGCGCGGCGACGACGGCGCTCCGCTGTGGAGGCTCGAGCGCGCCCCGCCACGTCCTCCCGCCGCGCCTGTTCCCCCCCGCCCGAGGGAAGTCGATCTCCCCAGCCGCGAGTACCCCGCCGACGCCCTGTACCCCGTCACCGCCGATGACGTCGGCGCCTGGCGCTGGGTCTATGCCCGCCCCGTCGCCCACGGCGTGCCCCAGGCCACCGTCCTTCCCGAGGAGCCTCTTGTTGGCTACTGGGAGCGCTGTCTGCTGGCCTTGCTGGCCGGCGAGCCCGACTCGTGGGCTTATGCGAGGCGCGGGCTGCCGAGCGTGTGAGACTAAGACCAATATGGTAAGGAGGAAATCAGTTGGGATTTCTGTTGAAGAATGGAACACGGGATCGTTTTGGATGGGAATATGTTTTTTTTTAGAAACTGTAAAAGGGGGGCCAATGTTTGTCTCTCCTTGCTTTTTGTTCGTTTCCTTGTTTCAATTTTTGAATCTCTTTGGATCCGGCTTTAAACGGGATGGATCTGGTCCATCTTGGCATTTATTGGTCTGCTGATGTAATTGGCTGGCCGAATCAGGTCCGGCAGCATGCAGCATGCAACGCAAAAGGAGGGCATCGGCTTGGAGCATAGCATTTTGGAATATTGCAGCCATATTGACCATTGACTAGAACTAGTTAGCGGCGAATCAAACTTGAATTCAGCTTGGGTTCCGAGTTTGTTGTCGGTTTCCGAGCGGCTCTTGGTATGATGTCGATCTTGAATGGATTCACACTGTAGAAACCTCTGTCTCGAGGCAATTGGCCCAACAGCTACTCCCTCTTTAGCCCAGGTGACCAATGATGCCGTGACACGACTTACCGTCACACAAGGAGGGGAAGGCCTCCGCCGAGGCTAAAAAGGCAGTGCAGCCCAGAACGGGGCTAACACGCCTCAAGCTGTGGAATTCAAAGAGATTCGCCGGGCGTGGAAGCTGCGCAAGAAGGCCGAGAGAGAGGCCGATGAGCGTAAAAAACAGCGGAAATTCCCGCAATTGGAAGCAGGCTCTGAAGCCGCTGGAAGTTTCAAGATCAAGCCTTGGTTGGGCCAGGGAACAATGGCAACGTTGATGACAGTGTGGGATCGGGGGTGGCACGGCAACCGTAACCGCAACTCCGCCGGCATCCACATATACCCACCTACCAAACTCAAAGTCCATCAAGCAACAGAATAAGCCCGGTTAGCTCAGTTTGGTTAGCAGCGTCGTACTAATACCGTCGGAAGGCAGTATCTGGTTATGCGAAGGTCAACAGTTCAATCCTGTTACTGGGCACTGTTATTCTTTTGCCGATTGCATGTCTGGAATCGCCTCGTCTTTTGCTTTACTTTTGCCGTTATATAAACTGCTGTGTTTAGTAACGAAATAATCAAGGACACGCTCTGTTCAAGCTTGCAATTTAACGCCGTAGCGGTGGATCTTGCAATGTATTTGTTGTGCAGTTCAATCGTTTGACTTTTTCTCTTAGCTGTTCTGCCACAAATGCTTACTGAGTTCACGAGCACGTTCATCCGGCTTGTCAGGGCCCACATCAACAACGAGCACGACCTCGAGTTTCTCAGGTTCGCGCGGGGCGTCGACGCGCCCTTTGACTTGCGGCTGCGCCCCGTGGACAATCAGAGGGGACTGGGCGCGCGAGGTGCCGATTGCTTTCATCGGGCGCTATCCTCCCTCTGCTGACGCACGGCGCCATCAAGCCCTATTTCCCGTCGTGGATCTGCGACTGGCGGAAAGAACGTTCGCTGCCGGAGGTTGCCGCCCCGCGGGTGCATGCCGATTATTTTGATGTCTGGCAAAAGACGCTGCCGCCGCGACAGTCTGTCAGCGACTTTGGAGGCCGGCTGGCTTTCGGCGGCTGCGCCATCGCCATGGTGGCGTATATGACGGACGAGATTGGCGGCCGGCCGTTGGCAGGCAAGCTGGATTGGTTCTCGAGGCTGCCACGGTGCGCACTGCAGAGGGCGCTGGGCCACAATGAAGGCGGCGGGCCAAGGATGGCAATTTCCGGCCCCCCGGCAGGCTATGGTATCAGACTGCGACGGCGGCGGCAGGAAGCCGCCGAGCAGCAACATGGCCATCCTGCTCCTCTAGACTCTATTCCAGGACGCGACTGGCTCAGCGTTGGCAACAATTCAATCAATCCAATTCTGAAGCCAAGTTTGATTGAAATTGAGGGCATCACCGGTCCGAATTGACTGCCTAATTAGAAGCCGTAATTAATTGACTGAGTTTATATGGATTGACTTCGACTGCCGGCAAATTCCGCTCCACCAAAAAACAGGTGAAATTGGCCCCAACTTGGTCCCTGAGACCAAAAAATAAACCCCTGAACCCACAGTAGCCGTGATTTTGGTCGGCCAGGCGGGAGTATTGTCTCTCAAGAGGGTCTCGCTAGAACATCAAAGTGGCGTTTGACGGCGGTAGGACCGTTCGAGCAAAGGATGTCGGCATTGACGGTCGAGGCAGGCATGTTGTCGGCTGTTTGGATGCAAGGAAGCAGGGGGGTTCGATGCAGGACGGCAGGAAAGTAGGATTCGGCTGTTTGTTGACAACGTGTGGCGATAGTTACGTTTTTTTTGGCTCTCCAAAGATCAGGGCAGTCAAAGATTTTACCGGGCTTCGGAAAATGCAGTGCCCAGGAAATGCAGAGTGGGCCCTGGGCAGGGGCTCCCCCGACTCCCATAATGACCCGAAAAAACGCCTGAAAATGGCCTAACCCATGGAAAATAATTGCCCAATTACTTTGAGCCTTTAGTTTTGACGGAAATTGGCCTCAAAAATGGCCGATTTGACTGACCAAAAAGGCCGAATTGGATTGATTGAATTGCAAAGTATTGAATTGGTGTCAACGCTGGGCTGGCTGCCGATGCGATGCTGAGAGCAGCAACAACAACAATATCAAAGAGAGCAAATTGATCAAAATGGCCAAGACAGCCACCACGGCGACGGCAGAATCGCAGCAAGAGCATCCACTTCGCTCGGGCCTACTCGAGGCCTACTGCTCGTCCGGCACGTACCCTCGGGCGCAGGTGTGCCACCGGGACTGGCTGTTCATGCTCGACGGGCTTGGCGACCCGGTCATACTGCGGCCGCATGTGCGGCGGGGGGACATCCGCACAATGTTGGGTAGGAGCGAGGTCGGTTTTGGGCTCGTCTCGGTCTGTCCGCTGGTTGTTGCGGGGGCCCGCGAGCAGTGGGCTGAGGCTCCTTTTGCGTATGGACGAGCTGTGATGTACTGAGTTGAGGTCGTTGATAAGCGGCTTGTCTTGTGTGTGCAGAAAAAGAACGGAAAAAGTAGAAAAGGAAAGGAGCGCCCACTGGGCTGTGAAAGACTGTGAGCATTGGTAGTCGTACCTACACGGTATCTTCCCAGACCGTGAATTTTGAGAGTTCCCCAATTACATGGGACGATATATCCAGTGATGGACCCGAGACGCTCCTGATAATTGGTAGCGTCAAAGCTATATAAACACACCTAATGTTGAAGTCCTCCTAGAGTAGACGAAAGAAAACAATACACACACCTAGCCAGGTACGTACATGGTACAAAGACAACAAATATCTATATCCCGTCCTTTTCCATTTCCATTATTACCAGATTCCTCCCTATAATGCGCCCATTATTTTAACCCACTCACGATCATACCATATCCGCCCCCTAGCCTTTTGAGGCCGCATTAGGGGGTTGGTATCTCAACCTCAGCAGCGACCGGTACAGGCTTCTTCTCCCTCGCCGAGCCCGCGCCCCCGCTGTTGCTCGACGACGGAGGGTAGCTGTTGTCTTGGCTGTACGGCGACGCGTGGTCAGACACGACCTGCCGCCGCCGCCGCCGTCTCGCAAACAGGCTGCTGCTGAAGCCGCCGCTGCTTTCTGGGGAGTTGTTGCCGTCGCTGTCGGGCGAGGCGCTGAAGATGCTCGGGAAGTGCTCCTTGACAAAGGGCTTCAGGCAGGGCAGGCAGGCGCAGACGATGCCGACGTACAGCTCGACGAGGCTGCGCGCGGAAGGGGGTCCGTCAGCTACGGCTCAGGCGCTGTCGGACAGAAGCACGAAAAGACGAGCAAGGAAAGGGAATGTAGGTAATTACCACCAGATGTTGTTGATGCAGTACTGCCAGGTCGTGTCCATGTTGTCCTTGCCCAACGGGATGGATGCCAGGCGAAAGAAGCTCACGGCGCAGACGCTAAGCTGGCTGTTAGTTTACCGTCGGTACCTGAACAAGCAGAGAAAACAAAACAAAATACTGACAATCCACCCGTCATCATAACCAGGCTGACGGCCACCTTGTGCCTCCAGTGCAGGCGGAGCGGCCACAGCAGCCAGGAGGGAAGCAGGAGAATGGCGACATCGGTGGCGGCGTTGATGGCGGCGCTGGCTAGAAAGGCCGAGTACAGGTCGACGCAGGAGCCCGGGGTGGCGAGGTCCCAGAGCTTGTGAATAGGGGTGCACAGGTACAGGAAGCTGAAGGCGGCGTTGAGCGAGTAGCCGGCGACGACGAAGAGCAGGGCGTAGACGGTGACGCGGAAGGCCTGGTTGGCGGCGGCGAAGCGAAGGTAGAAGAAAAGAATGGACGCCTTGACGCAGAGCGTCGAGAGATTGTAGAAGATGGAGGCCGGGAGGCCGACCTGTGATTAGTTGCCGGTTTTGTCAGTCTCGACCTGCGGAATCAGGCCAGAACTGGGCTGGCAGTGGGCGCTCACTATGATGGAGTGCTGGAAGTCGGACGGTGTGACTTCCCACATGTGTACGCCCATTCCATACTTGGTCTCTGTAGACTCGGCTCGTCAGCTTTGGGTTCGGGTTTGGCTCTGGCCTCTGTAATGCGGGGCGTGGGTACGGACGTGAGATATCTACAATGGACAGACCGATGGCTAGTATCTGGATTAAGCGCATCGTTAGATCGGGTGGCCTAAGACGTCAGAAGCGGGGGCCTTGGTCCGTGACGTACCAACGACGCGGTGATCAGCCCTGCAAGCTCGGCGCTAGTTAGCGATCTGGCGCCTTGTGCTAAGACTTGTAAACATTGATGGCCTGGGGCTCTTACAATCGTCGAGATGGAATTTGCGGAGGATACGCCGGGCCGTGTAGACGCGCAGGGTCCAGAAGACGAGAGCGATGACAGGGCAGACGACGCCGGCAACGACGAGCTTCCACCCAATGGACTCGGGGTCCGTGATGTTGGGAGTCACGCCTGGAGGGGGCGGCAGCATGCCCGGGTAGTCGGGCTGGGTCGTGGTCGAAGCCATGATCGATGGTCGTTAAGTTGTCAGGTTGTCAACAAAATGTGGTGTACTCGTTCATGCGCCCGCAATCGACCGCGGATGGAGCTGGCTGGCATGTCGCCTGCTAAAGATGTACGGAAAACAAGTGATTATTGACGTATTACTGAGCATCAACGGACAACGACTTGAACCGGGTGGGAATTGGGAAGCGCATCGTTTTCTACCTCTGCACCTGCTCGGGGGGCCATCTCTCTGGCTTGGTCTGGCAATCTGGGAAGGACCGCCTCTTCAGCCTCATGAAGACCCTCCCTTACTTACTTCACCGAAAACGCGTGATGGGCGATGCCAAGCGGGGGCCAAGTGCCCACATACTGTGTAGGAAGCAGCAAGGGAGAGCCTCTTGAAGACCCATCCCTACCTTATTTCACCGAAAGCGCGTGATGGGCCACTTTGGTGATGCCAAGCGGGGGCCAAGTGCCCACATAGGAAGCAGCAAGGGAGTGCCTCTAGGACCCATGCCCGACATACCAGCGAGAGCCTGTCAGCTCGGCGGCCAACCAATCATTCAGCGCCAATGGCGCACACCGGCGCTTCAGATGGCCGGGGGACTACGGCCGTGTCCCGGCCGGGCCGCTAGAGGCAGTCTCGCCCTTTTCAGTCTGGTGCAGCCATCACTGCAGTCTGTCTGCCATCATCTGAGTTACGGCGTGCTGACCGTCCGGTCTCCGAGTCCCCAATGGGCCCGAATATCTCTGGTAAGCCAGAGACGCTTGAGTTGTCTTTGGAAACCCGAGCGAGGCTAGGCTTGATCTGCAGGTGGCTCTAGCATTTGTGATTTTCGCGTGTGAGAGGTGCTGTCTGTATCCGTACTGCACCTGCACAGGCAGGTATCGATAAAACGCAAAAGAGGGTCCTTGGCGGTCAGACAAAAGCGTATTTCAATAGGTCTGGAACTCAGGCCTCGCTTGCGCCTTCCACACGGGGACATTACGAGGCGCACAGTGCCAAACCAAACCAAGGTGGCAGGTGTTACGTACTGTACAGTACCTGCCAG